TTTATTTTCGTGAATTTAAAAAAAAACTTTAAATCCACGAAAATTTTGGGCCACGAAAATTTCCCACTATACAGTACACTGGGTACCATTTTAAGTTAACAAAATTGAATGAGAATAGTAAAACATTAATTAATCAATAGAGGATATTATATTATATTCATAGCTTTAAGTACTGTATAATTATTATTCAACCCACACAATAAATTGGCCGCCATGTTAGACGTCAAGTTTATTAAGAGTTCAATGGGGAAAACACATTTTCTTGCCTTGCTACATTCTTGAGGCCTTTATTGGAAGCTTAGAAAGCATCCTCAGGATTTAATGGGGTCTAGTAGTCACCTGAAAGATTGCTATCAAAAAATACAGGGCAGTTTTCTGGAACAAAGGCTTTTTCTATCATTTCTCCATTGCTGCCATTGGCAAACTGATGTCATTTATTTTCTTGAAAGTTATCACCCAAGCACTATACATAACCTGCGCGTTACCTCTCACCTTCAGATCAAAGGCCTGAAGCCACATTAGCTAAGGTGGAGCCTGACTAAAGCCACTCCCCTGGTTGGCAGAACGCAGTACAAACGAATGGAAGAAAAGCATAGAAAAGCAAATGCGCAGTTCTTCTTACATCTATGCTTCAAGTTAGAGCTGCTACTTCTGTTATAGACACCTATGAGTCAGTGAGGAACCTCTTTGTTGCTATAAGCAACTTCTTTCCTTCTTATTTTTGGAATTTTCCAGCCTCCATCTCCATTCCTTCGATGTAGCTTTCTGCCAACCAAGGGGTGTGGTACTTGTGTGGGTGAACGTGAACGTGAAGACTTCTACGCCTACATTTAATCACAATTTAATGGTATTCATACTTTACTTCAAAGGAAGTGTGAGCTAACGCGCAGGTTATGTATACTATAAATTTTCTTGAAAGTTATTACAGTATGCAATGAATACATTTATTTTGCAATGAATATACTTAGCACTTATATCCTCAAGCTACTATGCATGAACATCCAACAATAAATGAATTTAATTGAAATGGCTTTAGGAATTAAAAGATTAGAAATAAAAAAAGCTACGTCCCGTAACACAAGGCCATGCCATTATGTTGCCACCATACCTATGCCTTCACTTTCAGACACCTCTTCCTCTTTATAAGACACCAGAGCAAACTAGCGACCAGGCAATAATAGCAGTAAATCTGTAATACATGCAGTGACATGTGAGGCAGTAAAGAAAATTGTGTACCTTTTCCTCGACCTTTTCTTTCTCTCTAAAAGCCGAGGCGAGCAGAGGTAAAAAACCGGAACTACTTAATTACAATATGCCGTATTAGTCTAAAAGCAAGGCACACCTTGACAAAATTGAAATTTGAACTTAACACGTGGTCACATGTGTTTATAATTAGTGAGTAATGGACAGTATTTTAAAAGATATGCTGAATGTAATGGAGACACACATTGACTTTGAGAGACTATTAGAAGAAGTAAATAATCCAAACACTATCTCTTTTATATATATATCTATCAGTTAGGATCAGAAGCAACCAATCTTCCTGATATATCACAAGGTATACAGTCACGTGACACTACTCACTGATCACGTGATCACAGGTTGGTCTGATGGTTTGAGACGAGCAATAGATCATCAAGCAATGAGTCTGTCTCAGTCTCCAGAGACGTTTGGTACATGGCTACTGATTAATAAACTAAAGGAAACAAATGATGTAATACTGATGT